TCAGCTAGGCCCTAGAAAGCCAAGGCCTCACCCGGTAAGATCTGTCAGGAGCTCATCCTACACTTGAGTAGGACCCTGGCAGAGACACATGCCCGACTGGCATATTCTCTCCCTCCTAGTCAATCGTTCGGAAGCTTCAAAAGCTTTCTTCAGCCCGAACATCACAGTGACCGATGCCAACAGACACCGGCACACTTAGGGATCCACAGAGTCTTCACAGCTTGTGTGACAGACCTCAGCAACTCAGCATTTTGGCTAATCTACTTTATTTACATATAAACATACACACGGAGCACTGCAAGATGGCTCCTCTCTCTAGCATCAGACAGCAAAGAGAAAAAGAACAAAGGACAATAGTCCCACTTCATGGAACACAGTAACACAAACACCCTGTCTCTATCACTTCCCACTCTGTGGAGTCAAAACATATACCGTCATGTGATAGACAAAAATCCCATGACTGTAATCAAGGAGCGGGAATTCTAACAAGATCAACAGCTTTGGGTTGCATTACAGTCAAGCAAATGGGCAGCACCAACAGTCGTGAGGAAGAAAAGCAGGGTAGGGTTATTGAGAACACCTTGCTCAAGGATCCCCAGAGCCTGGAGCCAACGCTGGCAGACAGCCATCTGGCACCCTTGGGTATGTGATGTGGGAGTGCTTACCAACGGCAGCCTTCTGGTGTAGTTTTGACCTGTATATAATTTGGTGCTTGAGGTTTCCTTCACTCTGCTGGTGGGGTATGTGCCAGTTTTATAGGACATAACCCTCGAGTAAATACTTCCCCAAGCAGTCCCAGCTGCCAAGCAACTCATCTTGCAAAACTGCGAGGACAAACCCGCCCCTTCCATCACCCAATGGGCTGACGACACCTCTATGAGCTCCAGCTACAAAACAGATTGCATCTATTAAAACAGCTCCAGAAGGACAGAAACTACACTGTCTGTGTGGCAGTGATGTTGCTTTAATTACGTTTGTCACCAAACTCTCATGCTCAGGGCCAGCTCAAGTCTGCATGTGTATTGGATTTGAAATGGTTCTTATATACCAAATTGTTTTAATTGTGCTTTTATATGTGAAATTGCTGTAATTGTATTTTTTATATATTACCGTAAATGGTTTTAATTATTTGTATACAAGAAAGTGTTTCATATGGGTTGCTATTGCTGATTTTTTTTTAAATGTTAAATGTCTCTGAGACATTTCATATGAAGCAATTCAAAAGCGTAGCAATAATAATATAGGATTTTGCTACCTTTGGCAGAGCAGTAAATGGTGTGCAGGAGCCCCACCCCACAAGTAAAGGGGAATCACATCTTATGTGAGGGTTAGATTTCCAAGGGCTACGCAAACACTTTACTGAGGAAACAGCAAAAGTACTGTAAAATATTAAGAGAAAGGAACAGAAAGATTTTATCTTTCTTAGTTCAGTGAGCCATTCAGCTTAAACATACGGGGGAAATTGCATCAGAACTACACATCCAATTAAAGCATGTGTTACCTTGGCAGAGACCATGTCTCTTTGGTCTCTAAGCAACACCTCTACCCATCCCCTGGCCTTGGCTAGTGGATTTTAACATTAACATAATTAACCCTTATGCTCAACACTGAATGATCCCTGTTGTTGCACTTGGAACGTTTATAGTGGGGCAGCACCTGTTAGGCTTGCCTAAAATGGCGTCAGGGAGGAATAATGGCAAGCCAGATGTATGGCAATGCACTTTGTGTGTGTCAGGAACGTTACTTTTTGAAATATGGCAACCCCAGGACCTGTTCTCTGGAACTCACTGCCTGTTAATGTTGTTCAGGCACCTTCATTGTACAGTGGAACCTCAGTTGTTGAACGCCTCTGTAATCGTACGTTTCGGCGTTCAAATGCCGAAAACCTGGAAGTAACTGCTCCGGTTTCTGAACAATTGTCAGAAGCCGAAAATGCTACATGGCTTCCGTTTTGAGTTTCCCTATTGTATTGAGTCTTCCGCTTTCAGTTTTCGGTTTTCAAACGTTTCGGAAGTCAAACGGTCTTCCGGAATGGATTACATTCAAAAACCGAGGTTCCATTGTAGTGTTTTCAATGCCTGCTCAAAACATGGTGTGGTACATTGGTTGAAAAAGTGAATGACTGACCCAATGCCACCCAGCAAGCTTCGTGAGTTGAACCTGGGCCTCCCTAGTCCTAATCTAAAATGCTAACTGGCTCTCACATTCTATTCCATTTAAATCACTGGTTTCACTGCTCATATTGGTGACACACACGATCACCCACATTTGAAATAATCAGGCTGATGTTTAATAGGATCTAGGAGTGGCCGACTCACTACGGAAAATAATTGTTCTTCTCTAGGTGCTTATGAGATGCTTTCCCAATTCATTGCTGGATGACAGCAGGTCACACACCCATTCGGATTGGATCTTTTACTCTTCTGAGTGGCTTATACTTTTACTGGTGCTCTGCATCATAATGGGACACACCTATGGGCTGTGTAAAAATATTCCCTCCCTGTGTAAAAATATTCCTATCCATTGAGGTTACCACTTTGTGCACCTGATATAGAAGGTTGTGTGTAAGGATGGGCAAATCTGTCTATTTCAGTTTCTTTTGATTTCTAAATTCAATTCTCCACGTTAATCTGCACGGTTGTTTGTTTTTTAAAAAGTCCTCATGAACATTCACCAGCGTTTTAGTGTGAATTTGTCCTAATATAATATTTTTGCGTACAATTTTGCTTATACACAGTTACTTTAAATGCACCGCTGTAACTTCAGCTCCTTGAACTTCCTGTCTGTGAATATTAATATTTGGAATTTTATACACAGTTACTTTAAATGCCACCCAACTGATAAATCAATTAAAATCTGCTTTAATTGGAAATGCAAGCCCTGAACCATTATGGAAGAATTAATATCTGAATTTACTTGCTTTCCATTTCCCCTTCCAATCCCTTATTCATCCCTATCATGATCTTAGATGAAATTGCCATTATTTCACGTAGCAGATAATAAAATAAAGTGTGATAGAGGCAAGAATTTAACACTTTGTTTTGGAGAGGTCAAGGCTTAGAATGGGAAACATCTTAAGTTCTACTCAAAGTTGTTAGGGGAGTGAGTGTTTCAGAATGATTTGGATTTAGACTGGAAGGAAAGGGGAGTGGTGGGTTGAAGAAGTCACTCACTGTATCTTAGCTTTATCTGTTGCTTTGATCATAACAAGGATACAATGCTTACTGCTCTGGAATTTGGTCTTATGATCCAGCCAGTAAATCGATTTCACTAGAAGAGGATGCAAGATAACAATAATTGTAAAACATAATTGCAGGTTATTTGAAAATGCTAATGAATGAAGTACACATTAATCAAACAATATGTGATAATTAAAATAATAATAATTAGAGTTCTTACATTTTCCCCCTTGGCAAGGCTCCTGTGCATTAGCAACTACATGGCAGACAGATTTTAGCGGATACAGTTTTCCCCATAGCACAGCCTCTCCATGCTGGGAAAAAAGCTATCCCTGTTGAAATTCTACTTGCCTACTGGCTGTTTAAGGCACAGGATCCCTACCAGAAGAAGAGTGGGCAGTGGATAGACCTTCTTGCCAGCAGCCTTAAGTCTGAACTTTGATAATTTTCTAGAGGTAATGAACCTCCTGAAGCTGTTGGACTACAACTCTTATCATCTGATCATTGGCTATCCAGGCTGGGGCTGATGGGAGTTGGAGTCCAAAAATGTCTGGAGGGTCAAAGGCTCCCTAGCCCTATTCCAGAGCCCTGTGGTATTCAGAAGGAGCCGCTGGAAGCTCTTTTTCAAAGACAGAGACTGACAGAAACCTGAAGTTTCATTGAAGGTAAAGCAAACATTTTACATCCTTTCTTACATGCTTGCCAAATTCAGGCTATCACTTATCAGTGTTCTTAATGCAGACTGACAGCAGGGTTACTTCAGGAAATACAGATCATTAGTTATAAAATGCCAAATTTTCTAGGGCCCTGTACAAATGTTAAGAAAACCACAGTCACTGCACATATGCTTGCTATCAGATATAGGGGGTTGCCAACATGGCAAGTGTGGGTTTCAAGATACTGAGGTTAGAGGCAGTTTTAGAGTAGCACAACCGGTGCGGCTGCACTGGGCACCGTGCTGCCAAGCGGCACGACAATGCTGTAAAACAGAGTGCAAGAGGCTTGTTGTTGTTGTTGTTTAGTCGTTTAGTCGTGTCCGACTCTTCGTGACCCTATGGACCAGAGCACGCCAGGCACCTCTGTCCTCCACTACCTCCCGCAGTTTGCTCAAACTCATGCTGGTAACCTCGAAAACACTATCCAACCATCTCGTCCTCTGTCGCCCCCTTCTCCTTGTGCCCTCCATCTTTCCCCCTCCGCTCTTCCCCAGTAGCATGTTGGACGCCTTCCGACCTGAGGGGCTCATCTTCCAGCGTCATAACTTTTATATGCCTGTTGTCTTTGTCCATGGAGTTTTCTTGGCAAGGATACTGGAGTGGCTTGCCGGTTCCTGCTCCAGGTGGATCACGTTTGGTCAAAACTCTCCACTATGACCTGTTCATCTTGTGTGCCCTGCTCGGCGTAGTTCATAGCTTCTTTGAGTTCTTCAAGCCCCTTCGCCACGGCAAGGCAGTGATCCATGCAAGAGGCAGGGAACACCAAATTTTAGCATCACACAGGGCGACACTGAAATTTAAGAGCCCAAAGTCCACCACTGCTGAGGTCTTCCCTATTGCCCATGAAGCCTCTGAACCGCCCCATCTAATCACTCTTAAAGGATAGTCACCTTTTTCTTCCTCAAAAAGAACAGAGTTGAAGAAAAAAGTTGGAAGAGTCACTACTTTTTCTTTCAGCTCCATGTGCTCAGATTAATTCTACTAGATCTGCCTTTTATTCAGATCCTTTGAAAAGTGAAGTTTGTGGTGTGAATGCTCTTTTCGTGTCTCACATGGTGGTGGGGGGGAAGAAATGACCAGAGAGGTTGGTGCCCACATCACTCACTGAAAAATCCCGGTGTGCCGATGGGTGTAAAGAGATTGGTGACTCCTGAATGAACCTGATAAAAAAGGGAGAAAATATTGGGCATGAACAGGAAAACAATCAAATTGAAGAACTAATTATTCATAGTAAATAATCTTTTTTTTAAAAAAATGCCTTAATAATTACACACACACAAAGCATTTGCTTTGTTATATCTTGGTTGGTTTTAGGGTTTGTTTGTAGTTTTTATCTGTACCCTGGCATGTTTTAAGATAACTTTTGTTTAGCAGCGCTGTTTAATGTTATTTCATTACACTGTAACTGATTATGTTTTTATTCTTGATTTTGAATTTTGCACATTGACTTGTAAGAAGTTAACCTAAAAGACTGAGTAAATAATAACGATGATAGCAGTGATAATGGCTACAACCCTATGCAAGTTTTCACCATTAAACTCCACGAGACTTACTTCGAACAAACTGTGGGATCGACGGCCTGTCTGTTCCCGATACTCTTTTTCTAAAGCCACAGACTATCTAGCCAGGCTTCGGGTGGCGCTGGCAGTCGCTGCTACAGATAACGCCACGCGATTCGCCTGTACTTCAAGGCTGGTGAACAAAGGTCAGCTTGCTATTTATCCGCCATTTATACCTATCGTTTCACCTCTGCCTGCACTTCCAGTTATTATCGATACTAATGCAGTTATTATCGATACTAATGTGTTAATGCTGTTTTGATATCAAGCAGAATATTATTATCATCACTATTATTTTTACGATCAGAATTTAAATGTTTTCCACTGCAGTATGTAGAACTGATTTTCGTGTCTCACACACACAGAGCTCTATATAGATATAAGATGCATACGCATATGCTAGGCTAAATTTTTATTGTATGCCAGCTCCACTGCTGTTGTCAGAATATCGCGAGCCTCTTCGAGCACCATCCGTTGCAGCTGCAACGCGAGCGTTCCAATTCGAATCTTTCAACGCTCGGCCCGGAGATTTCCAAACGCGCGCACGCGCACTCCCTCTTTCTCTGAGGGGCCAGGCCTTGGAATCCTCCTCCCCTCCTGCGAAGGGGCGCGCGCTCGCCGCGCACTTCCGAGACGGTGACGTAACTCGGAAGGCGGGTCGAGTCGCAGTGACATATACGGAAGGGCACGTCACGCTCCTTTGCAGAGCAGCTGCCGCCGCCGAGGCTCCAAGAGGTGCAACTTCAGACCCGGCTGGCGGGTGAGTGAGAGGAGCGCCTACTGGTCAAGCTCAGCGGGGCTTCCTTTGGAGCGACTGCCCTGTAGAGACAAACACGCAGGAGCCCTTCTTAGGCGGGAAGAAGGATCGGGGCTCTTTCTGCCCCCTGCGGTGCTTTTGGGGGTTCCAGTGCCCCTCCGTCTTGGGAGGGACCCCTTTCAAGGTGGAGGGAAGAGAGAGGGCCCCCCTTCCAGGTCGAATGGCTTTTCTTAGTTTGTTTCCGTGGGTGACATGAACCGTATGTTCATCTTTTGGAAAAGGATTCGCCTGTTGCAGTGCCAAAAGAGTTTTTGTGGTGCCTTAAAAGGTGAACGAATAAACTGCGGTGTGAGGTTTTGTGGTCTACAGCGCTGTTCCCTGGGATGGGTTTGACCCATGATGAATCTGGTGAAGTGGGAGAATCATAGCTCAGGGGTAGAGCATCTGCCTTGCATGGGAACATGTCCCTGGTTCAACCCCTGGTGTCCACAGGTGGAGCTGGGAGAGACTGACTCCCCTGAAACCCACTGCCAGCCAAGTGTAGATGAGCTGAGCTAGGTGGCTCAATGGTCTGACTTAGTCTGAGGCGTGTTTCTGGGTTCCTATGAACCTACAACAAGTTGTGCTGTAATTGATTGGTCACTCTGCAATCCTAAGCATGCCTACTCAGAAGTAAGTCCTGTTGAATTCAGTGGACCTTCTCCCAGGTAAGTGGGGTTAGGCTGACAGCTGAAGTCTCTTACAGGGCATGATCCTGTTGTTTTTACCCTTTCATTGATGCTACTGCTGGAGATTTATAGAACAACTGTATATGGAAAGTAATCCCCATTCTGGGTCTCACTCTAACATAAGCGGGTATAAGGTTGCAGTTTTTCTCCCTCCCTAACCTGCCCCCCCCAACAGTCCAACTATATGTAAAAAAAACCCCATGAAAGAATAACATGATCCTACATTACTCAGAAGTAAGCCCCATTTAATTGGACTTTACAGGTAAGTTCCTAGGATTACAGCATATCCTACTTCTAAGTAGATATGCATAGGGTTGAACTGTTAAGCATGTTTTCAGAAACCCTGGAACATACTAGGGAATAAGGAAGAATCTGTTCCATCTGTAAAGGGTTTCATCTTTGAGATACTTTATAGGAAGGATATAAATATTGATGATAAGTATGGTCATTCATGTGTGGTGGTTATGTGTATATTTGTTTACCTACACACAGAGAGAGAGAGCGCTAGGAAGTAGGGCCTAAGTGGGAATGTCTTGCTTCCACTCTCTTCATTTAGTTGGGCCATGAAAATGAACCTGCTTTATGATTTCTGTTTTTAAAGGTAGGGTTCCCCCTTCTCCTTCTCCTCCTTCTCCTGTCATGGGAGAGGTGACAATAATTACATCTTCCTCTTTTGATGAAATAACTTGTTTTTCCCAACACCCTCAGTAATTATGAGAAGGACGGGGGAGTTTACCGACATCTTTAGAGAAGTTCCTCCCACTACCTTTTTCATATTGCCAAATAATCCATATGGATAGACCAGGAACTTCCTGGGTGTGTTCAGAAACTCATACAAGGAATGGCTAGAGAAACTCCAAAAATATATATTTTGAAAGAGGGCTGGGCTAGAATGCTTCTTTCTGATGTGCTACTTTTCTGCATGCAAGGAGTTTTGTATCATCATTATTTGTGGGGAGGAGCAGTCAATAATGCGAAAGATCTTGCCTTGTAATCTGAAGTGGAACACTCCTAGGTTTGCCACTTCAGTGAAAACTAGGCTACATTTCTTCAAGTTTATTTTTAGACATCTTTTCCAAATGATTCTCAAAGTGGCTTTCAAGAGCAGTAAACAGAGCTAAAAAAATAAAGCAGAAACACTGATATATTGATGACTAACACCTCCATCATATTTCCAGCTGTGTTAATCTTGTTGCAGCAAGAACAACAAAGTCATGCGGCACCTTAAACAAAGTTTATGATGGCATAAGCTTTCACGGACCACAGTTTGTTTTATCAGATGCACAAAGTGTTATCCTGAGTTACAGGTGTATATAGTCTTCATATTATATTACTACTGTACTTTATTATGTACTTTTAGTATTAGTCACTTTTTCTCAGAAAGGAGAACATGAATTGACCTACAAATTTAAAAGCTAGTGTAAAAACAAGAGGAAAAATAACCTAAAATATTCACCTGTACAGTACAGTGGTACCTCAGGTTATGTACGCTTCAGGTTACATATGCTTCAGGTTACAGACTCCACTAACCCAGAAATAGTGCTTCAGGTTAAGAACTTTGCTTCAGGATGAGAACAGAAATCGGGCTCCGGCGGCGCGGCAGCAGCAGGAGGCCCCATTAGCTAAAGTAGTACTTCAGGTTAAGAACAGTTTCAGGTTAAGTACGGACCTCCGGAATGAATTAAGTACTTAACCTGAGGTACCACTGTATTATGTATAAAACAGAAGATCCAACTCAACCCCGCTCTACTAAAAGGAAGCAAAAAATTCAAGTCCACAGGTCTGGGTGAATAAAAATGTATTTGCCAGGCACCTAAAACAGATAGTGATGGTGCTAACATGCCTCTCTGGGGTGAACATTCCACAAACAGGGAGCCGCCATTATTTATTTTATGGTGTACAGCTTTCCCTCCTTTTCTGCTGTGTTCTAACCCCACCTCAGCCTTTTCCTTCCACTGCCCCAGTAGCAGCCTTCCAAATAACCCCACTAAAGTTATTAGTCTGCCCAAAAACCAAATGCACACCCTATTACCTTGCTGGGGGTTGGCAGAAGAAGGATGAATAGCTTCGTCCCTCTAGCAGCAACCTACTACATTTCTGTGCTGAGTGCAGAGGAGAACGGGGCACTGCATTCCTCCTACTACTTCATGTGGAGTTCCAGGTCTCCTATGGCTGCTGGGCAAATGTAAAAAGACAAGGCACTGTCCAAGAGAAGAGAAACAGCCTTCAAACCACTGAAACAATTGTTAAGAGAGAAGGCAGAACGCCTTCTCCCCCTTTGCCCCAGTGCTGCTAGAGGGGTTGCTGTTAACTGAGGGAGGAGTTATGTAACTGACATTGCAATCCAGTACATGTCTATTCAGCTCCATTGAGTTCAGTGGGACTTTCCCAGGTGAGTACTGCAGAATTGCACCCTGAAACTTTCTTTTCCACAGCAACTGGTTGGTGCAACAATAGTCAATTAAACCGTCTTTTTCTTCAGCCTTTCTGGCTACATCAGGAATTGCTGCTTTGCTGCAGGAGTTAGTTCTGAATTCTTATTTATTTGCACATAAAGGGTGGCAAAGCTTTTTGGGCAGTACTATATAGGCGCCCATGACCCTTGTACATGACCATGGACTCTTGCACAATTAGCAATGCTAGTATGGCAGGGCCATCCTCTGCAGAGATTAATTTTATTATAGGGTTTTAAAATATATTGCTCTTCCATGAAAATTGCCTTGTGTAAGAATACACAATTGAAACAGAAATCCAAACAAACCTGAAAGCACATAGAGGCAGGTGGATCTTAAAAGCCAGGTTAATAAAAGGTAAAGGGACCCCTGACCATTAGGTCCGGTCATGACTGACTCTGGGGTTGCGGTGCTCATCTCGCTTTATTGGCCAAGGGAGCCGGCGTACAGCTTCCAGGTCATGTGGCCAGCATGACTAAGCCACATCTGTCGAACCAGAGCAGCACACAGAAATGCCGTTTACCTTCCCGCCGGAGTGGTACCTATTTATCTACTTGCACTTTGACATGCTTTCGAACTGCTAGGTTGGCAGGAGCAGGGACCGAGCAACGGGAGCTCACCCCGTTGCGGGGATTCCAACCGCCGACCTTCTGATCGGCAAGCCCTAGGCTCTGTGGTTATGCACTGGGCCAATATTCTATCATATTACAATCAATAAAACTGCAAAGGTTCCTCCATAACTGCTGTGAAACAAGGCATGGTGACCCTGGGGGCCTCCAGATGCTGGACTCCCCATCAGCGCCAGCCGGTATAGTGAGCAGTTGGCCATGATGAGAGTTGTAGTCTAGCAACAGCTGGAGAACCAGAGAACCTTCATTCCTTCTGTTATGGATCAGTAAGATGCATGTTCATCCAAAGACAACCCTATGTCCCAAAATTCCGGTGTCTTCAGATTGTATTTTAAAACATCGCTGTTCACAAAGGCATTTGATGGCTGAAAGATAACTGTTCCCAGCAGTTAGTTGTTCCAGCTGGCATCCGCCTGTCTTGGGAGACAATGGAAAAGTGCACCTTTGTGGGTAAAGTCAAACCATTGGAGACTTACAGCACTTGCTGTGGCTGTACAGACCAATATGGGAGAGACATGTTTTGTTGAGTAGAGACAGATGAAATTGTCCGGTTGTGCTGCTGCTCCCAGCAGTAATTCTTCCTCTGGTCATTGCTATGGATACACGACCTAATAGTGTCTCCTAATAGTGCAATTGTCTGCAAGGGATTCCCATATGGCGGGATTAATGTTGCCAGCCTCCATGTCACCTTTGCAGCCATCTTTGTAACACAGAGATGGTCTGCCAACTGAGCTGGTGCCTAAAGCCAGCTCCCCATAGAGCAGGCCCTAGTGGATTCTGCCATCTTCCATTCTGTAGACGTGACCAAGCTAGCGTAGATGTCACTGAGACCAGAGTGTTGAAGTGCTGGGAATGTGGGGTTGGGAGAGCACATCTTTGTTTGAGTCTCTGTCCTGTCAAGTGATACCCAAAACCTTCCTGATGCAGCTCATGTAGGAGGTGTTGAAGCATCACTCCTGGCAATTGTAAGTTGTCCACAACTCACTTCCATAAAGCAGCGTGCTCAACATGCAAGCCTGGTAGACCTTCAGTATTAACTCGAAGGATATGTAACTGTTTTTAGATGTCCTTGATGTTATTGTTCTACTATTTTGTTTCACTGCTTTGTTTCCCACCCCCCACCCCCAAATCCTGGGCTTCTTTGGGATGAAGAGCATGATAGAATTTTAATTAATAATGATGAATAAAACTTTTTTTTTCTTCCCATAACTTTCAGGCTCTTCTTTCTCTTCAACTTAAAAAAGTTTGCTTGAAAAGGGAAGACCATGTCTTGGATAAAAGAAGGAGATTTGTCCATCTTGGAGAGATTCTGTGCCAGTGTGATAAAGGTAAGTGTTACGCTGATGCTATCACAGGTTATTTGACTTGGATGCTTGCATGTGAGTGTTAGAAGTATTGCTGCATGTATGATGCTATAGGGCTTGAAGGGTGAAGAGCTGAATCCTGCTGGCAACCCAGATCCCCTATCTTGTAGGCCATGAGATCTTGCAAAGCACCGCACATTGCGATGTCATATATGACATTTAGGTGGGCATGCTTGGTCAGAACAGCCTTATGGGCCAAATGGGGAGGCCTTGCAGGTCTCATTAAGCCCATGAGCCATAGATTCCCACCTCTGCTATAGAGGAACACCTCTGGAAATTCTGGTCCTAGAGGTTCTCCTGGAGAACCCTTTTTCTCCAGTGGCATTCCTTCTCTTGCCAGTGATCTCTCATGGGCCAGAGCAGGCTCCACAGCCCTGAGGATAGCTCTTTTGGCCATAGGCAGGAAGGAATTTCAGGCAGATAAGTGAGTGGGATGGTGGAGAAGGGTTGGCTGGCTCTGCCTGTCCTCTGCACCCAGCAAAGAAACAATGTGGGCTCCTGCAAGGAGGACAGAACTCCCTGTTCCTCCTCCACTATTCCTCAGCAGGTTGGGTGTGTGTGTGTGTGTGTGTGTGTGTGTGTGTATTTGCAGGTTGCCAACCTTTATGAGCATATGAACAAGGCTGTCCTATGGTGCTCTTAGATCTGCCAGGATTAGGCTCTGGACCACCTTTCAGTTTTTGTTCTAAAACTCAGCAGTTACTATTAAAAAACCCCTGTAATTTGGGGGGTAGAGGTGTACTGCTGACTTCAGCTGTGTCGCTCCTGCACTCTGCACACAACTGTTATTTTCAGGCCGTTCCCCCCCCACACACACACACTTTGTGCTCACCTTTAGGGAGTTCATGCCTTTTCCTGGTTTGGGAGGCCATTAGCAATACATTCTCATTGCGCCCCCCTCCCTTAGCAAGCCTACCCACTCACTTCTATTGCTGTGACTTATTATTGCTACCACCTGCTTGCTTGCCAGACAGAACCAGTGGGCAGACAAGCAGTGAGCAGCAGGTCTTTATTTGCTCATCCCTTCTGGGCCAGAATGAGGCACAGGTGAACAAGCAAGAATAGGAGGACCGGGTCCAGGTGGCTCTTGTTTGAATGTGGGCTGTCAGCAGGTGCCTGATTCTCCTGACCTTTGATCTCTGCCCTGGCTCATGATACATGCCTAGGCTGAAATTGAGTTTATCATTTTTCTAACAGCTTATCATTTCTCTGCTTTCTCCCCCCCACCCTTTGCATTTAGGCAGGCCCAATGCCCAAGCACATCGCCTTCATCATGGATGGCAACCGCCGTTACGCTCAAAAGCACAAAGTGAAAAAAATAGAAGGACATTCACAGGGATTTGCAAAACTAGCACAGGTGAGGAGGACCTTTTGTAGACAAGTGGCTGTTTAGGATGCAAAGGCCGAGATGGTGGCTTCAAGACTTGGTTCACATTTGCCTTGGCTAGGTCAAAATGTGTGTGTCTAATCACCCTGTTCCCTGTTCCTTTTTTCTGTCTGCCTGGCCTCAATTTCTTCCTTTTGAGGTCCAGATTAAAATTGCTAGCTTTAACCTTTACAGCCTTAAATGGCTTGGGACCAAGTTACTTTATATACAGTTTTCTCCCCTCTGTACTTACCTGAACCTTAAAAACTTCAGGGGGCTTTGTTTTGGGTTCTCTGGATGAATTGAGGTGGGTAACCTCCAGAGAGAGGGCCTTTCCAGTGGTGGCACCCCAGGGGTCATTGGAGAGATCATTTGATGAGCACAAAGGGAGCAAAAACCACCTATTTAGCAGATATCTGTAAATCAAATGGGGAGAGAGGTTTGCATGTGTTTCTGTAACCCACCCTAGAGCTTTGATGAAGGGCGACCCAAAAACAAAAATTTAGTTTTAGTGACTAGTTTGTTGTCACTTTGGCTTTGAATAAATATCTCCTTTTCTACAGACACTGCAGTGGTGTTTGAGTCTGGGTATCCGGGAAGTCACAGTCTATGCCTTTAGTATTGAGAACTTCAAGCGATCCCAGGAAGAAGTGGAAGGCCTGATGGAGATGGCAAGGCAAAAATTTACCCGTCTTCTAGAAGAACAGTAAGCTCCTTCTTTCTAACCTTCCACCGCAACCTGCAAGTCCAGGGCCGGGAACCTGAGACCTTCCAGTTGTCATTGGACTCCAACTTCCATCAGCCCCAGCTAGCATGGCTAATGGTCAGGGATGATGGGAGTTGTAGTCTAGCAAGATCTGGAGGGCCACAGGTTGCCCTCATTTGCTGTTAAGGAACATGATGTATTTCTGCATGCGTTTAAAAGTTAGGCCTGACTTGAGTCATCACTTCTGTCACCAGTAGGAAACATTGAATTGTATTCAACTGACTTTTACTCAGAACAAACCAATTTAAATTAATGGACCTAAGTGAGTCAAAGCCGTTCATTTCAGTGGGTCCATTCTGAGTAAAAGTCAGTTGGAAAGAACCCATGAATTAATCCTGCATTAGAACATGATTTTTGCCCTAGTGGGGGAAATTGCAGTAAATATACTTGATTCTAAAGTAGCTTTTCTGTATTGTCTAAAAGGCAAAGGGTTGGAAGCAGGGTTTGGTTATTTGTTTTACATATTTATAACTTGCCATTCCCACAAATGTTCCCAAGCCAGTTTACCTAAGCAAAATATTCCTTTTATTAAAATTAAAACAAGATACCACTGAATAAAAGCAATAATAACCTATATAAGCAGCATAAAATCTTTTGGTGGAGAGAGAAAAACAGTTTAGCAGTTTAAACAAATTAACAGGCCTGGGGAAATAGAGGTCTTTCTGCTGCCAAAAAAAGACATCAAGGTGGTTGCCAGGTAAACATCTTGGGAAATTATTCCATAATTGAGGTGCCACCACTGGAAAGGCCCCGTCTTCATTGCTTGCCTGCCACATTTCACCTAGTAATTTGGAGAAAGACCTCAGGTGAAGATCTTTAGAGTCTTGGTAGGTACATACGGAAACAAATGTCACACTAGTTGTCAGTCTCCTTAGTGACTAAAATTTTTGTATAATTCTGCAGGGAAATGGCTGAGGTTTCTGTGAACTGACAGATTAGTAACTGAGGATATGGAATATTGCTGTGCTTTAACTTATTTTTGGAACAATACCTTCCCAAAGTTTCATCCATTTATTTTATTTTCAGTATATAATTTCAAGGGCATAAGCTTTAGCAGATTAGTGTCTACTTTGTGAAGTGCCATAGTAGGCACATTGTGGGGTGATGGTGGATGGAGGTAAAGAAAATCTGGTCAACAGTGACATTGGAGGGAATTGAAATGGGAAAAACAGAGACTGTGACAATTAAAAGCTTAAATGTACATGCATGGGCCAGTTGCAAAGCAGTGTTGATCACATAAACATTAGTAGGCTAATTAACCCCTGTGGTGATAATATGAGAGCAAAAAAGAGACCTGCATCAAATTATTACAATTTTTGTGATCATTTCTAACATTTATTAATTCATAATTATAAAATTATTTACATACCATTCTCCTGCAACAAACCAGCAAATCTTTTTTTAAAAAAATGATATTTTATTGAACCGTTTTAAATTATAAAGCAATAAAGTGATACAAACAAAAAAAGGCACAAAACTCTAAAGGGGGGGGATATATGAATATACACAACAATACCCTAACCCATACATTCTTTTATAAATTTGATATTAGTATAACACTAATGTAAATATTAATAGCCTACCACATTTTATATAAATTCATTCCAGATATTATCATTTATCCAAGCAGAGTCTACGTCTGTAAGCAGTCTGTTCATCAGTTGCAAGTGTTATCATATTATCAAAAGGAGATCATGTATCCGTATCAGTCTCTTGGCTACCATTAAATCGCATAAAATCTATTTTCGTTGTCCCATTGTTAACTTCCTGCAACAAATTAAGCTAAGAAAGCTGGAGGTATAATATTTATAGGTATATTATTCATGTTTCTGCATATTTTTGCACTACGAAATAAAATAAAACTAGCCTGAGCTTTTAGAGGTCTTCCTGTGAATAGCTGCTGCTTGACTGTATTACAGCTGTTAGTGGGACCAGGATAAAAAGAGAAATGTGGTTGTGTTTTGAATTTTACAGGGTCAAATAGACCATTAGTGTATATTGACAGAGCAGCAGAAAGAAACTAGAGTAGTGGGTACTTACTGGGTTCTTTTCAGTTCTGTGCTGGACTATGGAGAGTTTGGAGGATTATTCCACATCCTTGTGCTATTATCGGGATGAAAATGGCCATTAGGAATCGAGTTTCCACAGGCCGCAACAATGCCTGCTTTCTCAAACACACAGTTGACCTGAAGAAATACTAGACAGAAGGTCCTCTAGAGATGATGCTGGACTCTCAGTTCCCTCAGCCCCAACCATTGGTGCCCACATGGCCTCTGGGTATGGTCTGAAAATACATGAGGACCACCATCTTGCAGATTTTGAGCAAGGCTCTGATCAGTGCCTGGGTGGATAACCACCTGAGAACCTCATGTATGCCATGAGAAAAGAAAGTTGGGGTTTAAATAAATCTGGAGGGGGACAGGCTTTCCGACCTGTTACTGTTATTGTTATCATCATCATTTAATAATAAAATTTATATACTGTCCTTCATCAAAAGATCTCAGGGCGGTTCACATAATAAAATACAAAATAAAACACAAGTAAATAATTAAACCAAAGTTATTTATCATTGAGATGAGGGTAGCATGATGGTTAAGAGAATGAGCTGTGAACAAGGATATCCCCAGATTAGTCAGCTGCCATGAATTCAGTGGGTGGTTTGGGGGCAAGCTCCAAACCCTGTTCCCATTGCTGTTTATATAGGGATAATCGCTGTAACCTACTCCACAAGATTGTGCATAAGGATTACAGAATAATTGTATGTGGAATGTAAGAAGTGTCATATGATAGCTATTACATGAATTATAAAGTATGTTTCATACTGTCCTGTCCTGTACTTGAAGTGAAACTTCAGAGTTTGCCAATTGCTGACTGGTTAACTATGGGAAGAAAGGCTGTTAGGACTGGAATTATTAACCCAACTGGCTGTAACCTGCTAGCTGGTATATAATTTACATTGGGAAAAGTGGCTGGGGAAACCCAGCCAGATGGGCGGGGTATAAATAAATTATTATTATTATTATTATTATTATTATTATTATTATTATTATTTATTGGGAATTTTTATATTTTCAAATTATCTGTTGGTATAAAGCAAACTTTATTAATTGGAGCAGTGCTCTCCTAGAGCTAAGATCTGCTCACAACCAAAACTCATTTCAAATGATACCATAACACTGATAAGAGGGACAGCCAGTAAAGGAAGTAAACAGAGACCCAAACAGCACTCTTGGAGCTTCAGTGTGTGTCCTTCCTCTGAAGTGAAACAATTAAGGTGCTTAATGTGTATATTAAATTGTCTAGAATCTTGGGGGAGCTGCTCCAATTTAAACCAAGATGAAAGTAAATATAATTCTAGTCTAGGGTGGGTATGAACAGCCTTCTTCCTACTGTAGCGTAAACCTGATTATATGATTTTTTTCTCAGGTTACGTCTAAGAAGAGTGGGCATTCAGTTGGGACCCTGAAAGCAATAATTTTTATTGGGGCTCTTAGCCAGTGGAGCCTGGCAGTGGCAGGATTGAGCACCTTTGCCTTCCACCCTAGGCTGAAGCAAAGTGCAACTGTGTAGATACCCTGGTCCCCTCTTGTAAAAGTCAGTAGACTAAATTAATTAATGTTTCCCCATGCAATGGGTTTGAAAAACCAACACCCACACAATACACTTCATTGCTGTTCATTCACAGCTCATTAAAGTACAGTGGAACCTTGGTTCTTAAACTTAATCCATTCTGGAAGTCCATTCCAAAACCAAAACGTTCCAAAACCAAGGCACGCTTTCCTGTAGAAAGTAATGCAGAATGGATTAATCCGTTCCTGACTTTTAAAAACAACCCCTGAAACAGCAATTTAACTTGAATTTTACTATCTAACGGGACCATTGATCCATAAAATGAAAGCAATAAACAATGTACTGCAGTCACACAATCAATCAGTCAATCAATCAATCAATCAATCAATAGCTGAACTCGGTTCCACACAGTCACAAAAACAAAACAAAAAAGAGCCACAAAAATGCAAAATAAATAGCAAAAACAGACAGACCTCAGTGTAACACTCAAAATGGAAGTGTGGCACTCAAATCAGAATCGTAACACTCAAAAAAGAAGTGTGGCACTCAAATCATCAGCATAACACTCAAATAGTCAGCATAACACTCAAAACGGAGCATGTTCTGCTTCCGAAAAATGTTCGCAAACTGAAACACTTACTTCCAGGTTTGCAGTGTTTGGGTTCCAATTTGTTTGAGTACCGAGGCGTTTGAGAACCAAGGTACCACTGTAAGCTGAAATCATGGCTGCTGGATGATATAGTAAACATCTTTGGAGCTTTTGGCAGGACAGTTTCAAATGTGTTGCTGCCTTGTCGTTGTTCACATGGCCCCAGATCCAACTCTTGCTTACGTAGAAAACCCTTGTGACTTGTATTCTTCTCTCCCCCACTCCTCCATGTGTCCTGTTGCAAGATGTAAGCAGAATCTCTGAATAACTGAGTGGCGGTTAATATTGACTGTATACTGTATGTGCTGGCATTGCTGGGGTTTGTCTTGTCTGCTGTGTTGGTCAGATTCCTCCATCCTCTTCCTCTTCTCCCTTTTAGGGAGAACTTGGAGAGACACGGTGTGTGTGTTCGTATCCTCGGGGACCTGCCCCTCCTGCCGAAAGATATCCAGGAACTAATTGCCAAAGTTGTGCTGGCAACGAGGCACTACAACACGTGAGTCCTGTTGCAAAGTCTTGCCATTTTAAAACATGGTTTTTATTGGAGTCGTCACAAGACCATAAAAGCAAACAGAACATCAGTAGGGGCATGTTTGTCAGATGTTTGAACAAAAACCAAGTGATCATTCATTACTCTCATTGTGCATGTCTGTATTTAATGTCGAAATGGGGCAGGGAGGTATTAAGACAGGCCACTCCCTGTACATATTCTCTCTGCAATTGTATCAGAAACCCTGGGCCTGTCCATATCTTGGCTTTGTGTGGATTATGAACCCTTTGTGCTTACTTTAATTGTGTAGTAGTAGTAATAATAATGGACGCGGGTGGCGCTGTGGGTAAAAGCCTCAGTGCCTAGGGCTTGCCGATCGAAAGGTCAGCGGTTCGAATCCCCACAGCGGGGTGCGCTCCCGCTGCTCGGTCCCAGCGCCTGCCAACCTAGCAGTTCGAAAGCACTCCCGGGTGCAAGTAGATAAATAGGGACCGCTTACCAGCGGGAAGGTAAACGGCGTTCCGTGTGCTGCGCTGGCTCGCCAGATGCAGCTTTGTCACGCTGGCCACGTGACCCGGAAGTGTCTCCGGACAGCGCTGGCCCCTGGCCTCTTGAGTGAGATGGGCGCACAACCCCAGAGTCTGTCAAGACTGGTCCGTACGGGCAGGGGTACCTTTACCTTTACCTTAGTAATAATAATAAGAAGAATAATTTTATTATTTATACTCCACCCATCTGACTGAGTTTCCTCAGCCACTCTGAGCGGCTTACAGAATATATAAAATAGAATAAAGCATCAAACATTAAAAACTTCCCTTCAGCTTCCTTTTAGGAGGAGATTCAGAATAGACTATCAGTTTAATTGGATGAACTCAAGTTCAGGTATGATAAGAGAGGGAGGAAAACTTCCTTAACACCGTGCGTCATTTTTCTTCTCTCTTTATTTTTAAAAGGTGTTATTTGAACATTTGTATTGCATACACATCAAGACAAGAGATTAGCAATGCGGTGAAAGAGCTGGCTTGGGGAGTCGAAGAAGGACTGCTTCAACCCAGGTAACTTTGCATGTTTGATTTCCGCAATGGGGCTGCTGTGGAAGCATCCACTCTGTGGCATACCATCTTCAGTCCCAGGTTGAGCTCTGTTCCTTAGGCTTGGCAGAAGGAGCTGGATCGTCATAGTGCTGACTATCGGGCCCTTGTGCCCACATGAAGCCAGATTTTCCCATCCCCCACCCCCATGCTGCTGCTGCCGCCACTCCTTGGAGCACATTCCTGTACACTGATTGGCTGGCCATTGTGTCAATCATGAAGAACAGTTTTCAAAGCATGAAAACCTTTAAAAAAACACACGAAAAAACACCAGCAACCTTAAAGCACTAAGCAAACATTGGAGGGCATAAATATGCAAGGCTCTTGGAAATGCAAACAAAGCAGTCGTGAAATCTGAAGCCTCAGCGGAAGGGCAAGCTGGCAGTCAGGACTTGAGTCGCAGGCTCTACCTGTGCTGCTTAGGGAAAGGCTGGGGAAAGCAAAGCTGATGCTGCAGGAGGAAAGCTCATGCCGGTTACAGTTTTCCAGTCTGTTTGTACACAGCCATAATAATACTTTCGCAAGGCTAGCCTACATGATGCCCTCCAGGTGTTTTTGGACTTCAACTCCCATCAGTCCCTACCAGCATGGCCAGCAGTCAGAGATAATGGGATTGTAGTCCACCAGCATCACGCTGACTTACTCCCCATGTCCTACACCTCTTCCTCGTCTACATTCTCCACTGCAACTGTCTGGGCCTTCCCACAGAAGTCCAATGCCATTCTGAAACCCCTTAAATGTTCTTAGAGAAGCAGTGGTGGATCTTGGGGTCTCAAATTTCAGCAGTGCCCTGGGTGATGCCAAATTTCGGCACCCCTCCACCTCTCACACTCCATTCTAAATCATAGTTGCAGGGCCCTGAGGCCTGTGCCAGTGCGACCAAACCTCTTGAGAGAAGTCACGTGTACTAAAAATCAGTGTGCCACCTTTCCGTCCCAAATACCTGCCCATATAGCTTTTTTAAAACCAAGCAAAACTATTTGAAAAACAAAACAAACACATAGCAAGAAAATGCTACAACAAGCAGCATGAAACAGACCGCTGGGTACTCAATAGGAGCTTGCTAAGCAGTGCTGGGGACATGTCCCAGGCTGCACCCCTTCCTGAGCCATACAAGTCTTGAGAGCCACTAAGAGGCCTGGAGGGGGCTGCGTTTGGCCTCAGGGCTGAGGTTCCCCATCCTTTCTCTAAATGAAAACTGATTTTCAGCTATTCAAGCCTCAAATCCTCATAAGACCCCCTCCTAGCGGTTTCCTATAGCTCATGGGGGACAGAATGGAACTCGGCAGCACAGTTGCTTCAGGGCCAAGTGAAAGTCCCTCAGTGCTACATTCTGGAAGTGGTCCTGCAGATGGGACTGGAACTACCACAATACTCCACCTCTTGACTTCCATCTCACAGAGCCCCTTCAGGAGGGGATAGCATTGTGGACTGTACTGAAAGCTGCTGACTGATCAGTGTCACCAGGGAATGTCTTGCATTCTACACCCACCACCTGGGCACAGTTGCAAAACTACTATTTTGGGAGTTGGAGGACCATTGGGATGCAGTGGGGGCTTCTCCACATACAAAAGTATTCTGGTCATTGAGACCCATAGGAATTTTTACATTAGTGGAGCAGGACCACCTTAGCAGTGGTGCCGTTCTTGTGGATTTTGCTCCTCAAGAGGCTCACCACATGCCATCCTCCTGTGCTAGCCTTGTATTTAAGCACGAGTCTGGTAGCCATAGGTGATATGGATTTGCATGTAGGCAAGCACATGGAGTTCCATTTAGGCAAATATGGACTGGGGAAGGAGGAGGAGCACCTCCACACCTGGCACAGAAACCCAAGAAACCAAATCAGGATGAAAGAGGATGAGCAGAATTCTCCATCTCTCTCTGCCAGCCCCCAGGAGGCTGGTGACACAGTCTGCATGCTAGTTACTCTTATTCACAAGGCTTTTCCATGCACTGAGCTGGTTCTTTAGAACTTCCCTGTTCTTTCAAGTCTCTGGAGGGCGTGAGGACAAAACACAAGTGGATTTATTTTAGGTTTATGAGCTTACAGATGTCATGATCTTAAATGCTGGTACACTTTGTATTGCCTTTTTGTGTTTGTGGTTGTAACTGTGTTGCATTTCTTCTTCACCTACTTGGTGCATTCTTCTCTGGCGGAAAAGTAGTATTGAAATGAGAAAGAAAAATAAGTGCCATAAACAAAGAATGGGCAATTAGGCATAGTGCTAGTATAGATTCAAGAGTTGTTGTTTTTTTATTTGGAGCTTAGAAACTCCAAATAAAGGGCACATCTCCCTTGTGCCCTTTAGAATCTGCTCCACACTTTAGAAACAATAATAAAATGAGTCTGATCGTATATGAAACATGTTTATCAAATGTATCTTGTGCCAGTTTACTCCTTACCACCCAAAGCAAGTTCAAACAAAGTCCTCAAATTCCAAGAAAAATGCTTGGAATTTGCTTCTTGGGGAAGGCAGTTTCCTAAGTGGGTAGGCCATGCTGCTCTCTGTGCCCTCCTTTTCTTCTTTAAGGAGATTGGCACTCGGATGGAATCATTTAAAGTTAAGATCCAGAGGTGCAGAAATAAGCACATGGTGCCGTCTTTCTAGTCTTCATGGCTAGGAGCCTCACCACTGCCTCCTAGCCATGATGATGAGTGTAGGCTACCCCTGAATTCAGAGACAGTAAACCTCTGGATACCAGTTGGAGGAGCGACAGCAGGTGAGGGTTGATACCCACATGTACCACTTATGGAGTTTTGCCATAGGCATCTGCATGGCTGCAGTGTGTGGAGGAGGATGCTGGAATAAGTGGACCTCTTCTTCTTCTTTGCCTGATCCAGAAGGTCTTCATGGTCCACCTAATGTGCATTCAACTTTGTAGATAAACATTGCCTCCCTAATTTAAGTTTTGTGTCTCTTAGTGATGTATCAGAGTCGCTGATCGACAAGTGCCTGTATACCTGTAAATCTCCTCATCCAGACATCCTAATAAGGACTTCCGGAGAAGTCAGACTTAGCGATTTCATGCTCTGGCAGGTAACAGTGAACTGAAATTACCCATGAGGTTGGAAGAGTGAGATCCACCTCTCCTGCTCTGCTTGGTCTTGTTTAGAAATAATTTAGCACTTTGGCTCTGGGGATTTTGTTGTACGGTTTCAGGAAAGATTTTGCGTTTCAGCTTTGGGGGTGGAATCTGAATCTCTCTTCATTAAACCATTAGAATAAAAATACATTCGAAGATATACAGTCCTGCATCACGTACTGGAATTCCAGTGTGAACAAAGGAGCTGTCAGATCAGGGCTAAATGTTGAGAGTCAATGTCAAGCTTTAAAAACAATAAAGCCACTCCTACGGGCTCCAAAAATCTTGTTCAGATATAAAACTGATGTTGCATAAATGACTGGGTCATGCCTCAAAGAAAGTCTTCTGAAACAAAAATGTACTTAGTAGGCGCCTAGGCAGCTTGATGCTGGTGACTGATTTCGGCTGGGAACTGATTCCAGAGAAATGGAACTGCAGAACTAAAAGTCTGGTTTCTAGTGCAAGTTAAGGCATATGGTACTCTCAACACTATTGCATCTGAGAAGAGCAGTAGCTTGGTAGGGCTATATTGGGCAAGGGTCTCTCTTCCAGATCAAGTTTTTTAGGACTTAGAATGCAAAACCTTGAACTGTAACACTAGCTAGTGCAGCTCCCTCAGCAGAGGTGTTTTATGGTTTCAATAGAATACTCAACAACCAACCTAGCTGCAGCATTCTGCACTAGCTGCAGCTTCTGGATTAAGCTGCATGCAGGTGCCAGTCCTAAACCATGGATATGCCTCTGAATATCTGTTGCTGGGAGGTTTGTGGACTTCCTAGTTGGCCACTCTGAGAACAAGATGCTAAACTAGATGGGCTTTTGGTCGGAACCAACAGAGTTCTTCTTCCCATACTGCTTAACATTACAGCAGGAGTGGCCAGCCTATGGCCCTCCAGATGCCATTGAAGTCCAGCTCCCAACAGCCCCACCTTGAGTGGTCAAGGACAATGACACTATACCCGAGCAGTGTCTGGAAGGCTGCAGGTTATCTGCCCCTGAATTACAGCTTTTCGTTTTACGCTAAAGCATGAACTATAAATGGGGAAATTTCCTTTCAGGATTCCCCCTTTGATTTCCATGTCCCGTTTGCTAAGGGACCTCTTCACCCCATATATCCCTAGCTGGCAACTGCCCCCCTCAGCTGGAGAATTCTGGGAGTACCACATGTCCCAGAGGTGCACTTAGCCTGTACCTAGAACCTGGGCTTTGAGTCTTGCAGCTACAGCCTTCTGGAATCGGTTATCAGCTGAGATTAAACAGGCACCTATCATTTTGATGTTTAGGAGGCTAGTGAATTATGTAGGTTGAATGTGAAGCAAGTGCAGCTCTCACCCTGCTTTGCAAATGCCAGGGTCATTCTACCTGCTGGTTTCCTGCAACATGATCCTTTTCCCAGCAGAAAAGGAGGGGTGTGCTTTGCTACAAAAAGGACTGCAAGAAGCAGGCCTGCAAGAATCTGTGCTCTTTGGCCTGCAGTAGAGTTGGCTAACCTTTTCCAGGCAGAGGGCCACGTGGACCCCATGGTTGTCCAGGAGGTATGGCCAAAGTGGGAAAATGTGCACAACAAGAACTGTAGTTCTCAAGCTTGCCTTCCAAAACATTTCCCCCATAATGTTGTTTTGTTATTTTTATTGTAACATAAAAAGTGTTACTAGCAAACAAAAGTTCAGTAGCAGGGTATCACATCATACTATACAGAAAACAAGCAAGCAAACAAAAAAAGGATAAGAGGAAGAAATGGTAACACACCAGTCTAAATTGAGGCATCCATATTTCCTGAGCTGGCGTGGATGGTGAATGTTGGGCATATAAGTCCAAAGCATGCGAAATAAAATCCCACCAGAAATAAAATCCCACCAGCAATCTGGATCATCCATCCCTCTGGATAAACAGTGTTATCCCCACCACCACCCCTCCCTGCAATAGCTGAAGTCCATATGTTCTTAAACCATCCTGGTTGCAGTTAGCATCCATGCCAAAGGTTGTTTAGAGCAACAAGCCTTCACGTTAACAGTCATCCTGTTCTGTAAAGACAATTGTGGGGAAGCTTGTACGGGTGATTTAATTATTTTAGATATTTCTAGATAAAGTTGAGACTATTCAAAACCATTGTTATAAGTAAGTGTTAAAGTCATTGTTTTAAAATGGACCAATTGAACTAGGGTTGGGGTGGCTTGGAGGGACACAAGCCATTTGTCATCACAATAGTACAGTGAGGGACCTACATGAGCTGTTGGGGTGGGGAGAGGAGAGGATTTTTTAATTTCTTTTTTTATGGAGAAATTTGGAGGGAGCCACAAATATATTTTGGTATCACAGCAGGGAGCCCACTGGTGTGTGTGTGTGTGTGTGTGTGTGTGAGAGAGAGAGAGAGAGAGAGAGAGAGAGAGAGAGAGTGTTAGAGTAGACCACAGGTTGTCACCTCAGGCATACATCCTTAGAGCTCAATGCCCTTCCTTCTCCTACCCCCAACCCCCACCCAAAAAAACAAAAAAAAAACTTTTTAGAGGTGTAGTGTTGGACTGATCATGCTCCCTTCACTGCCAAAAGGATATTGAGGTGGAATGGCAATTGGTATTGGATGTGCACACTCTAGAATGAGTCCTCACAGCCTCAGTCCTTTCTTTCAGCAGCAATGGGGAAGTCACTTTTCATGACTGCAAAGGTCCTAGTGCAAAGCTCAACACCTCTCTGCCTTGTTTTCACATTCTTATAGTGGAATTTTGAGGTTAGAGGATTCCAGCATGGTCCAAAGTATCTGCATATAACCCATGCAATCAATGAATAGGAATGCATGTAGCATATGGATGAAAGGCCTTTTGTGGGTTTGTGCTAGAATAATTTCACTGGCCAACGTTGCTTGACTCTGTGGTGTTCTTCCCTCTGCGGGCTGCCTGTTAAACTCCTTGTCTTTCTTTCTGCAGACATCTCATACATGCTTGGTTTTCCAGTCTGTCTTGTGGCCAGATTACTCCTTCTGGAACTTGTGGGAGGCTGTCCTTCAGTTCCAGATGAACTACAATGCTCTGCAGGTAACACCCGGAGGGCACAAATCTGAGGCAAAATCTGGCAAACCCAGAACTCCCCACCAACATATTATGAATGTTAACTGACTTTCTCAAGACTTAAAAGACTGGGAATTGTGCCAGTTTTTTAAAAAGAGGGGGGGGGGGACTTATTGCTTTAAAAGCAAGCATTCCCCATCTCAACTGTAACACCTGAGCAAAAATTCTTTGCATCTCATGTCATTTATATATTCATGAGCTGAACACAAGATTTAATAAATAAGAATAATATAATAATAGATCCCAATTTCTGGAGATCAAATTTTGAGTAGGATTTAGTGAGGTCCTCCTAGTTTGTTTTATGTGTAGACCGTAGAATTAGTTCAAAGCTGGTAAAAATGTGCCCCTAGTGAAAATGGTATTAGGTGATCTAGAAACAGATTTAGACATTGGGTGATGTTCAGTGTTCATCATATGCAGAACAGACCTATTGAAACGGTTCTGATAGCTTTTCCATTGTGGGTAGATTTTAAAGTGGGTCAGATGTCTTCTTCTGTTTCAGTTAAATACTAGTCAAAAATCAGAAGTGCAGAAATATTTGATAGTGACCAAATACACTGAATTTTTGCATGTACCAAGACAAATGCATTGCCGTAGAACGGAATGCAATTGCTTGGTGAGAGTGTGCATGGAAGAAAAATAATTTTAGGAAGAGGGAGCAAACTCTAACTTTGAGAAGCATCAGGGATTGGGTGTTCTTTGTTTGTTTGTTTGTTTGTTTGTTTGTTTGTTTGCTTTTGGGAGCTGTTGCATGGAGAGATGGAGAGGCATTTGGGAACCAAACAGAAGCAAATTTCTCCAGCAATTTTTGCTTCTCTATTCCAGGGAAGCCAGTGAGGTACTTTTAAGGCACACCACTCTCATCAACCTTGACCAAGTGGCCATGCTGGCTGGGGCTGATGGGAGTTGTAGTCCCGCAAACATCTGGACGGCACCACATTGACTCTCCCCCTATTGACTATTAGGCTTGCTTCATTTTCACCAACTCATATGCCATTTCTTTTCAGAAAGCCAGGGATTTGTACATGGAAGAAAGGAAGTGGCAGCAGATGGAAAATGACAAGATCTGTGTGCTGGAGAAGCTGAAAGAGGAAGGTTCTGCATCCTGTACAGATGCGCAGAGACGGCGGACTCTCCTCCAGGAATGCAGAGCTAAACGGGAAGAGAGAATCCAGAGTTTTTTGCAAGCCCTGGAGAATAAGCACATGGACTTCCTAGAAAAACTGAGTATGGCATCAGCATGACAAAAAGGAACTTGCAGGGCCAGGAGTCAGGTGCAGGAGAGGAAGGACATGAATCAAGCTACAAACAGTTCAACTGCTGCCAGTGGTCTTCACTTGTTAATGGGAATGTAAAGTTTTGTTTCCCTTTGTGTTCTCAGTAGACATATACAAGACTTTACCACCTATGTTTCTGGTTGTTATTCAAGCTTTGGTTGGGGATGACGGTGTCTGAAATAAGTTTATGCTTATGTGGGTTTATAAAGGTAACCAAACAAAGCTTGAGTAAATGTTCTTGGGAAGGTCTGTCCTTGTTTCACTCCCTCTTCCCAAACTGCAGTGTTTCGGTGCCTCAGCTGAACAAGTTTCCTTAAACTTCTTCGAATTCTGAAAAGTTGCTTGCCGTGCAGGGAGGGGTGCAGTTGGGGAAAGTGGACAAGGACCCTGTTTGCATGCACACAGACAAATGGGTGTCTAGTTCTAGATGGGCTTTTTGATGCCTAATTAGAAGACTGGCTGTCCCATTAAATAAAAATAAAAATTCTCGTCTCAATTTTCTGTGTGTGGCCAGAAACAATAGAATTGCCCTAATTTGGTGAACCTGCGTACTTGTGAGGCTCTACAAGGAAACATACATTGCCTGCCCCAGAATTATTTTGGCATTGTGGTACATAAATTAATAAAAACTAGATTGGGAGAATGTTCTTTCTGCTTGGCTCTGTATGTGCTGCAGAGCTTTGGGCACTCCAGTTTGCTGGAGGTGTATCTAATACAGCATACTCTGCTGTCTCTCTGTGTGTGGTTTTTTTAAGTGTTTTACTTTCAGATGGCACCAGAAAATGTCATTATTTAAAAATAAAAAACTTGCAGATTCAGCATGTTGGATACAGCTGTGAAGAGGCTGATTAAGGCATCAAGCCATGAATAAAGCAATTTTTGGGGGGAGACAACAAATTTTAAAAATAAGCTGAATATTATTAAAAGTTTCTATTCTAACGCTATGTGAATCCAAAGAAGAAATGTGCAGTTTAATTATCTTTTTAAAAAATGGTGAGGATGAGCCAATTGTCAGAGAACTGATACTGTAAATCATCAAACCATTTAAGAATTGTGTCCTTTTTCGATGCAAGTAGTTAAGGATATATACAGAAATACATGGTGACCAATAAATTATGGGAACTTTGTTCTCATACAGTGGCTTTACCTACTGTTAGAAGCTGAATCTTTATAGCTTTTATGATGTCTGAAACAGCTGTTTTAAGAAAGACCTCAAATTCTAAAGGGAATGTCTCTCGTGTTTCTTGAACAGGGCATGCACATAACCTCCCAGCCATGTGTTATCCTTTCAGAGGTGGGAAAGAATATTTATTAGTAAATGTTTCTTCTGCATTAAAAACTTACAATCAATAAGTTGAAAAACATGAATGGTTGCTTCTGTGGGAAACAAGAGGTCCAACATCCTTAATGAAGGTGTTTCTTTGTCTACATGGTTTAGAAGTAGCTGTTGGCACACCAGTCCAAACCCGCTCAGAGGTGGGCAGCCTCCAGTGCATGGGTCAGTTTTGGTGCTTCAGGGAATCCAATTTGGTTTGTGGTGCCATTTCCTCCAAAAATCACAACCATGTGTCCATCAGCTGATGGGCTTTTTAAAATCCTGCTGGGTGTTACTTCACCAGTGCATTCCCTATGGGGAACATGCTTCCATAGCAGACTCCTGCAGGGAGCCTGACTGAACCCTGAGTAGGTGAGCAGAGAGTTCAATCCTACTTGGTGCTTCACCACCCCACCCCATCTCATGGGTCAATTTTTGATAAGGGAGTGGGACTGCCTACCAACATATCACTTCCATCATGATAACAGATGGATGGGTGATTCCCACTTACCTGCCAAAAGTTGGCCAGTGGGGTGGGGGAGATAATGACCTGGCTCACTGGGTGTATACAGAACAGTTTGCATTAGTGTATCCACTGTGGCATCCTATGCTGGCAAGCATGCTAGCTGCCGGTTGCATATGTCATGGTCACACATCAAAACTAGATTACTGTTAATGTGCTGGTGGTGGGATGTTGTGTGTCTGAATCTTCTGAGACCTGATAGTACAAGATGCAGCAGCCAGACTATTGCATAGTGTTGATTTACATCTTTTGCACTGGCTCCTGGTCTAATTTCAGAAGCAATTGAAAGTGCTGGACACTTGTCTTCATAGTTCTCAACTGTGTGGGACCAGTATACCTAAAATACAGTCTGCTCTCATATGATCCTTTCCAGTGACCAAAATGTTTGGGTGTTTGGGAACTCCTTGGTGGAGCATACTCAGTTCTGACAGGCAGGTTTTTGGACTGGATGGTGGGTCATTTTGCTGGATTCCGGTTTTGTACTAACTGTCTGCTGCTTGCTTGTTCTGCACCCCAGCCTCACCCCCCGCATACATTTGTGCTTTGTGGTTTTAATTCTTTGTCTTTTTAAAGCTGCCTTGGGTGGCTCAAATTATGAATGAAAAAGGCATTCAACCACCCTCTAGCAGATTTTCAGGGTGTCCAGTAGGTTTTCAGTGGAACTTGCTTCTGTCTGCTTAATGTCAATGACTTTAATCTGACTAAACAGGCTTATAGTACATGCTTGCCTGTTTAAATGGCTTGTAGATCACACTGAGAACAATTGGAATGAATGACGGCTGTGTTGCCGTTATGTGGTTCATTGCACCTACTGTTAAGGGGTATTTCTATTCCTGGAGAATGAGAGTAAGAGGCCAACTTGAGTTATTTTTAAGAGTGCGAAGTTGTTTAGCTCTACTGTAGTAACTGTGTTCATAGTGAAATATAACTAGAATCCTGATGGAATTAAAAAAGTTGAAGATTGTTAGATTTGGCAACTGGCATATGAAATGTTAAACCTTAAAAGTGCTTCGTGTAGTTACCAATATTGCTTCCAGCCTGTTAAAAATTCTAAAGCAAGGATGGGAAACCTTGAGCCTGGGTACCAAAAGTGGCCCTCCATGACTGTTTTGTCTGGCCTTCTGGGCTCCTTCAGTCTCATGCCCATGCTAGAGTACTTTTTCCTGGTTAGAATGTGACCTTGAATTGTGATAATGCCTCTTGCTTGCCTGGTTGGAGGGAAGTACATACATTTTATAAACCTTTGCATCGCTGGAAGGAAGCTTAATGTACAAAAGTAAATCTCTCTCTTTGCTCCACCCACCCTTGTGTCTGGCCACTCATGCAGCCTTGGATGGTTGCCAACAAAGGAATTTTGCCCTAAGACTGAAAAAGGTTCCCCATCCCTGAACTCAGGAGCGTATCTAGGAGTTTGTGAAGTTGGCCCTGCCGAGGGTGCAGGCACAGCAGGGAACAAAAACCACGCCTTTCCACTCCGGCTTGGAGTGGCTAGGAGCCCACCTGCCCATCTACATGCTCCCCAGACTGTTGCTCTGCTGCTCTGGACAGCAGTCAGGTGAAGCATGCAGGCTCCTCTGGGTGCCTTGGCAGGAGCACCTCCCAAGTGAAATGTGGTGAAGGATGTCATAAGAAGACAAGCCCTGCTGAATCAGGCCAATGGTCCATGTAATCCATCGTCCTGTACTCACAGTGCATGACCAGATGTCTGCTGGAAATCCATTTGGTGTTCTGCCATGGAGGCAGAGCATAGCCATCATGGCTGGTAACCACTGATAGCCTCAACCCCCATACATTTGTCTAATCCTCTTTTTAAGTCACCCAAGTTGGCAGCCATCACTACATCCTGTGAACATAGTTGTGTCTAGTTCAGCATTCTGCTTCCAAAAGTAGCCCCTTCAGCAATTGCCTAGTTGGTGGCATACTGCCTCTGAACAAAGACGATAAGATCCTCCATCGTTAGCTGTGCATGTGCAATTGAAAAATGTGTTCTAATGCTATATAAGCCACATGAAATTATTCATACGAGTGAAGACATCACTGCAACTCTCTCATTTAACTTCACCCTGAATGTAACCTTTACCACTTAATAGTGCAAGCTGTAATGATGTTGCATGGTGTGTCCATTGCAAGGCAAGTTATGTTAAGGGAGACACTACATACGATGACAGATCCAATGTGGGCAACATGCCTTATTCTGCAGGTATTCCATATCTGTCCCTGCCTCTTTCTAACTGCTGGGATTTGGGGTGGGTATTCTACCAGCAGCAGGACAGAATGGTGCTGAAAAGGACAGCTCCTCACCTGGCCCCTGCCAAGGAAGCGTCTTCGGTAAAAGTGTCCCCGCGCCACAAGAATGCTTCCGTTCCCCCTCTTTCTCCCTTTGGAGAGGGGGAAGGCGAGGTGGCTGCTGCACCTGAGGCCCTTTGCTGCTCGCTCTTGAGGGAGACCCTGCCAGTTCGTAGTCAAGGTTGAAAAGGAAGAGGGCGCTGTGGGTTGCGTTCTGCCCTCCTCAGCTAGGCAATGACCGCACCTTCCTTTCCCTTCGAGCGCTAGAAGAGGCCACCATCTTCTTCTACCCAAGCTTCCACCCAGATTTCTTGTTGTTGTTGTTGTTATTGGCTTGGAGGGCCAGGAAGAACAGGGGAAAGGCCCTTTCTCGGAAACATTTTCTTCCTGCCTGCGCCTTCGCAGGAGAGGCGCGCCATGGCTTGTGCAGGTGCGCCAGGCAGGTCGGTCTTTCGCCCTCCTGCAGCGAGAGAGAGACACTGCACTGGCTTCTCAGCGGTAACTTTCGACCGCAAGCTTTATATACGCTTACCTGGGCGCAAGTCCAGTCACCGCGCCAGAGGAGTTGTGAAGATTACGCAGAGAGCTCCTTCTCAGCCAGGAGGATTTATTTATTTAATTAATTTTGCAGTGCGTTTTTTTAAAACCCAAGAGAAATTATTGTTTTTTAATTATTTTTAACGGAGGGGGGAGGCAGCAAGAGTGGTATGATTATCTACGAAATGCATTTTTCTTTCTTGCGTACATACGTAACGAAAAAGAGGTCCGGGTTATTATTTAAAAAAAAAAAATTCTATACGGCGCCGAGGGTCGGTCTTAGTATTGCCATTTATTGTTGTCATTAAAACAAATTCGCGCCGTGGTCGAAAGACCGAGCAACAGCTCTTGCAGGGAGGATTTACTAGTTGCGCGCGCGCCCCCTTCGCTCCTCGCCTCCCCTCGCAGCGCCCGCCCTGGCTGGCCCTTGCCACGTGACGCGCTCTGTCCAATAGGCAGCCGGGGCGGTGGGGATCCGGCTGGAACCGGTTGGGCCGCGTCCGGCTCTATATAAAACTTTATAAACACCCGATTCAAATTAGTGGGGTCGTGAGCGACACGAGCGAACCTAACAAACGGAGCCCCCCTTTCTCTCTTTTCCTCTTCTGCTCTACCTTACTGCGCGGCTTCTCTGCACCCCCTCCCTTTTTTTATTTTACAGGCGGTTGAGTTTCTCCCTTCCCTCCTACAGAGACCGCGCTTTTATATTTCCAACCCAGCCTCCTTTTTCTCTTTCTCTCCCCCTCTGTCACGCGCCGCCGACATGCCCAAGAGAAAGGTACGTGGCTGCGGCGAGAGAACCTAATGGCTCGGACGGGAGACGGGGAAGGAGGAAGTGGGGAAGAGACATGGTAGTTTGCAGAAGGAGCGGTGCTTATGCGGGGATGAGATTTAGATCAGCCGCCATTTTCTTTCCTTTCTCCTCCTCTTTCTCCCTCTCCCCCCCACCCTCCCCGGTTCTCCTTTCCTTCCTCCTCCACGAGCGGTTAACGGTTGTGAGGCGGGGGAAGAGCGCGCGCGCGCGAGGCGGCTCGACGGTGCTTCTGAGGACTTAAAAGTGAGGAGAAGGAGTGGGCGGAGCGGAGCGAGAACGACCGTTAACCGCCGCGCATTCTTGATGGGAGGGGGGGGAAGACTATAAGGAAGAAGAGAGAGCGAGAGAGATGGCGCGCGCGCGCGCACTCGAATGGGCGCGAGAATATTAATCATTGGCAGTTTCTCGCCCGCGCGCTCACTTAAGTCCCCACCAATAGGGAAGGGGCACGCGCCCGCCAGCGGGTGGGCAGAGGAGCAAGATATGGAAGATAGGAGACTAAGCTTAGCCGGAGCGAGCTGGCTGTTTTTTTTGGCGGGAGGGTGGTTGGCTGGAGAGAGGCACGTGCGTGGCTGGTTGTAGGTGTTTGGGCGCGCGCGTGCGCGCCCGTGCAAACATAAAGCGGGGTACGTTGGAAAAATGGGCGCGTGCGCGCACTCCCACTCGCGTTCTGTCATCCGCCTCCCCCCCCCCGCGCTTCCTTCACAAATAAATACAGTAATGGGGGCGGGGGGGGCCGCAGGCTTTTCTCCCCCGCCATCCCCCGCGCTCCCGAAAAGGCGGGAAGGCCAAAAAAAGCGGTAGTTTTGAAAGCCCTGGGGGAGGGGAAAGACCAGCCCTATGGAGTCCTGGCGAGAGACTTGTCAGTTGTTTGCGCGGGGGATGGAGGTTTCCCCTGTCAGTGAAGATGTTGGAGAGGCCCCGCCTCCCGCCCTACATGCGCTCCTTAGCGAATCTTTCCCGCCCCCTGCCTTCTCTCTAAGGGGGAAAGTGACCATCTTAAGTGTTGGGAGGCGAAGGAGGGTTAGAGTTGCCCACACACGTACACGTTGTGGCTTGCTTCTCTGGAGCCCTTTAGGTTGCCAAATCTACGTTTCACTTCAAAGAGGCATTCGGGATTGTTTCCCCAATTGTGTCTTGGAAGGAGGGGGTATGTTGGGCCCAGGGGAGTTGCCTGAGCTCTGAATCTAGGGATGATCCCTTAAGGCTTAAAGCGACAGAGAGTCGGTACAGCCTTAAATGTCTCACAGTGAGTGGTTTCATAGCTCTGAAGAGGCACTAGGGGTAGGCAGGCAAGCAAGGTTCAAATTGCAAGATCAAAATTCCAGAAATAAGTGAGATCTTGGGTCTGTTACACGGACTCAATAGAGGTCATAGTGTTCTGAAATAAAAGGAGCCATTATGTTGCCTAGAGCTGCAGTGTTGGGGAATAAAGAATAATGCATCAAAATTAGGGGCATCTGGCAATGCTGTTATCCACACAACCCTCCCACAAACACATCTCTCATTGGGAGAACGTATGGTCACTAAGGATGCAGAAGTGCATACAATATAGCCATTTTTTTTAAATTAGAAGATACTAGTAATAATTATATCAAATTTATTGAAATGATAATTGTCAAAAACTATGGGAACTTGCATTGAGTAAAACTTAGTTCTGTAGTAGGAACATAAATTGTAATATTGCAATAGTTGATGCTTCTGACAACACTATATGGCCCCAGGGAGCATCTTCTATTCCGCATGTTTTCTTTATGCAACCAGAAAAATTATTTGATTTTTCACATGCAATTTCTTGGTTTTCTGAGCATAGGATTTAAAATGCCAACATCTTGATTTAAAATATAAAGGCCATAGCTTAGTAGTAAAGCATCTGCCTTGCACACATAAGGTTTCAGGTTCAATCCATGCTTCTCCAGATAAGGCTGGGAAAGACTTGTCTGAAACCCTGGGAAGTGCTGCCAGTCAATGTAGACAATACTGAACTAGATTGACTAATGGTTTGATTCTATATATGGCATCTTTCTGTACTGCATACAGGGAGGGAAAATAATAGTAAGTAGTTGTGAGACGGTGCTATTTTAAAATTTGAGGAAAAAGGAATCAGACAAAGATGAGATTGTCAGCTTTGCAATGCATTAAATATTTTTCTTTATATATTTAAGTAACATCAGCTTATCCAAGTTTTTAAAACCTCCAAAGAAATTAGATTGATGGTGTAGGGTTTCATCAGCTATTTCACTTTTTAAATTCCTTATAGGCTGAAGGAGATACCAAGGGTGACAAGGCCAAAGCAAAGGATGAGGTAAGAGCATTACTATATTTGTATGTTATAGACTAAACCTGAAATCCCAAATGTATTCACTTGCCACTAAACCCCATTGAATTCAGTTGAGCTTACTTCTGACTAGAGATGGTTAAGTTTGTGGTGTAATTTGCAAAGATTTGTATGTATCTAGCTTTCTTACCACATTGTTCTCATTTTAACCTTACCTGTCAGATGGAGATATGCTACTTAGAAGTATGTTAGCTTTCTGATCTTGAAAATTGTATCAGAATGTAATGTGTGTATTTGAATGCTGGATTTTAGGTCTCTATTCTAAAAGAAACAACTCATTCTAATGGTTAACTTTTCTTTTTTAAAACAGCCACAGCGGAGATCAGCAAGGTTATCTGCTGTAAGTATGTTGTGTGATGGAATGTCCTTTAGGGTTGTTAGCAATAGTAACTTCTAAAGAACTACTGATAGTCAACTCATTGACACCCTGAAAGGGATTAAGTTGGCTGTTAAGCATGACGTCATATACTAAAGTGAACAAATACCTTATTGTCTCAAAACTACTTTTGAATTGTTCTGTCTTTTCTAGAAACCTGCTCCTCCAAAGCCAGAACCTAAACCTAAAAAAACAGCTCCAAAGGTAAAATTCAAATTGTATGCAATTTGAACTCGAATACATCTTTGTTCTCTGGTCTGAGATACTTAATGTTCAAACAATTGTTTTAAATTGTGTGAAGTCCTTTATATCAGCAGATGTTTATGGTTTGTGAACTATTAATTATTTCCATTGACTGGCAGAAGGCTGAGAAGGTACCTAAGGGGAAGAAGGGGAAAGCTGATGCAGGCAAGGATGGAAACAATCCTGCAGAAAATGGAGATGCCAAAACAGACCAGGTATAATAGCAATATAGTAGATTTCTTTACTTTGCTAAACTATATATTTAGTGATATGGACCAGCATGTTTCCTCCAAACTCTTGTTAATTTGTTGTGAAATGATTGTGTTTGAATGGAAGTAGTATGCTCCCAATTGTATACGAGATTGCAGTTTTAAAAATTAAGTAAGAAATATTTGTCTTCGTTCTTCTGCTCAAGTCTAACATCAATACTTTCTCATAATAGCTTGCATTGTGTTAATGGGTGTGTGTCTGTTTCATATAATTTACATAGATTAATGCAGATATTGGCCTATGTGGGTAGTAACTTGCATTAGCATAAAGAAAACTGACGGGACTGCCTTTGTCTTTCAGGCACAGAAAGCTGAAGGTGCTGGGGATGCCAAGTGAATTGTGTGAATTTTTGATAACTGTGTACTTCTGGTGACTGTACAGTTTGAAATACTATTTTTTATCAAGTTTTATAACAATGCAGAATTTTGTTTTACTTTTTTTTTTAAAGCTATGTTGTTAGCACACAGAACGCTTCGTTGTTGTGTTTTGGGGGAAGGAGAGGGGACAAATGCCATTGACTCTGTTACTTAGAACCTGGGCTTTTAAAAGCCCCCCTTCAATTTTACAAGAGGGGGTCTACATGGACACAAGAAAGGGGGATTCCCTGATATTGTTCATCTTTGGTTTCTGAAATACTTGAGTGAACACTGAAGTTCCCAAAATGCTTGTGTCTGAGGAGAAGGTACATTTAAAACAGTACTTAGACTTCCTCTGTCTGTTCTTTCACATTGTCATTTGCATTGCATTTACCACTCCTTTGAGTGTGGCATAGGGTCTTTTGATACTTGCTCTCATAAATCAGATTCGTGCTCACAGTGTCAGGCAATCCAGATTTCTGGTGTCAAATACTATGGGGTGGGGGAAGGATGGCTCTCAGATGAGCCACATTTCTTATATTGTGAATCTTCAAATTAAGAATTCTACGGTTTTGTTTTCCTCTAAAAGTCAGGGTAGGCTTGTGAAAAGTTGTTAAACAACATACTAAATGTGAAAGTGTCCACCCTCACTCTAAACTTTCCCTGTTCCAAGTAAGAATTGAAGATTTCATTGGGTTTTATATAGTAACTTTACATTTTGGTAGTCCAAGAAGAAAGGGGAGTTGGAATTTGTTGTAAAACATTGCAGATTGTAGACCATGTCCTGCCTGAATACCATTGATTGATTGTTTTATGAAAAGTACCTTTAATAAAGCTGGATATTGTTTGGCTTGGACTGTTCTCTTTTTTTACTCTGTTCTCTTTGATTTCTAGTGCTTTTCTTTCAGGGTTACATTGGTGAGCTTAAATGTAAGTACAGTGGTGCCTCGCAAGATGAACGCCTCGCAAAACGAAAAACTCGCAAGACGAAAGAGTTTTCCGTTTTTGAGTCGTTCCGCAAGACGAATTTCCCTATGGGCTTGCTTTGCAAGAAGAAAGCCCATAGGGAAATCTCCGGGGACCTCTTTTAAATGCTGGCGGTGGGGAACAAAGCCTTTCGCCCCCCTCCGGCCTTCAGAAGAGGTCCAGGAAGGCCGGCGGGGGGCAAAAGTCTTTGCTCCCCCCCGCCTGCCTTCCCGGGACAGCGGAGACTTCTCCGCTGTCCCGGGGCGATCTTAAAATGCTGGCGGGCGGCAGCAAAGCCTTCGCTGCCGCCCGCCAGCATTTTAAAAGCCCCCGGGACAGCAGAGACTTCTCCGCTGTCCCGGGGGCTTTTAAAATGCTGGCGAGCGGCAGCAAAGCCCTCCTGTCCCCGGAGCTTGCGGGGCGGGAGGTGGGGAGAAGGGCTTTTCTTCCCACCGCCAGCCTTCAGAAGGCTGGCGGTGGGAGGTGGGGAGAAGGGCTTTTCTTCCCACCGCCAGCTATGTTTCAAAATGGCCCCGCTGTCATAGAAACCACTAAGCTTGATCTACATGATCAGAAAAAACACAATGGTTCAATTCTCTTGGGAATTTTCCAGTTATAAATGTAGGTGAAGGAATTGCATGACAAAATGCAAAAGTAGCATGTCAAGGAAAATTATTCTCCCCTCACCCCTGGTGCTATTTTGAATATTTTGTCATGCTTTTCCCCATCTGTGTTCTATAGTGGTATAATCTCAGAAGAGTTCTACCAGCCTTGTATTTAAGAACTAGCCCTGATACCCAGAGGTGATAAGGAATTGCATGTGAGCAGAGGATGGAAGCTCACAGCTGCTGTAAAAGAGGGTGTTTTGCCCCATCTCCAAGCCCCAGTAGGCTTAGTAAACATTTTTCAAGGCTAGTAACGTTGTGGGCTTCTTTTGCAATACTGAGTTGTACTGCATGCCTTTTATCTTAATGTTTAAGGCTCTAGACACTGGTGGGGAACCTTTTTCAGCCCAATGGCCTCATTTCTTTGTGAACAAACTTCCAGGGACCATATGCCAGTGGTAGTTAGGCAAAAGAGGGATAAAACAGTTTTGACTCTTTACTTTTAGACTAGGGTTGCCATACATCTGGAATCTCCCAGACATATCCGGAATACTGCAGTTGGCAGCAGTGTCCAGGCGGAAATCAACAATATGTTCGGGAAAATCCGGACACATGGCAGCCCATGACGACAGGGCCAGTTTTGCCGATTTTCCAGAAAAGGAGCTCAGAAACGGCAAATTTCTGTGATTTTGCCAAGAAAGCTCAACAGCTTTTCTGTCCAGATTTTCACTGTTTGAAATATGGCAACCCTACCTTTAGACAGGAGGCTACATTCCAGCCACACACAAGTTGGAGGTTTCAGCATACATGCATAGCTCTCCAAGTAAGCAAGAAGAATTATTACAGTTCAGCAATACATTCCAGCCAGGCAAAACTACTCAACAACAGTTGGTGAAGGTTGTGCCTTGGAGTCCTCTCTTGGAGGGCCCAATGCAGCTCTGAACCTGAGGCTCCATTCATTCTATAAACTAAATCTGCTTAGGTAAATTACAGGATTTAGTCGTCTTGCCTTTATTGTTCAAAAATAAAAGTGATTGATTACATGTGAGTCTTGGTGGCTACAGCAGTATGAAATGGAGTAGGAATTCATGGAAAGGTATAGGGTGGACAACTCCATTTGAATGCTTAACACAAGGTTGAATTGAAGGCCAAGAGTGGTATTACACAAGGAGTAAGCAATGATTTGGTTTAGATCTGATCATGTTGTTAAATTAATCTTAGAATAACCAAAACGAAAGTAGCGCCATAAAAATATGGAAGATTCAAAGGTTCTAGAATGCAGTAGGACTTTCTTTTTTGTAATATGGAATCAAGTTGAATCCAGCAGGTTGAGCAGCGTGCTGAGACCCAGGTTGGGTGAGACTAAACCTTCCAGTGCATCAGCTCTTTTACAGCACTTTCTATAAGTCCTCATAATGTTTTCAAAATTAGTAACTTGGCATGACCTTCCAAAAGCAGATAGGTGTTAATTTGCATAATTGGATTTTGTGACAGCAAAAAATAAAATTGGAAAATTAAAGAGTTTTGCATATGCTTGCTGCTCCTTTCATAAGATTGCTCTTTCCTCATCAGCACACCACTCCCATCTATTCTTTCCATACTATAATGCTGCTGCTGTGGGCCTCTTCTCAGATGCATAAGTTCAGCACACAAGGAAACCAAAACTTGCACATCACTGCTAGGGTGGTACTAAATTTCCTTCAGGAAATGATACAAATCTCCAGGTCTAATGTGGGTTATTTGAAACAACTATCATGTTGCCAATATGCCATTGTAGGGAAGGTGCTTGAGAGGGTGGTGATAGCTAAGCTCTTACCTGTTCTTGTAGGAAATGTTTAGACCCTTCCAGCCTAGATTCAGGCCTGGTTTGGCATCTGTACCAGCTTTGGTCATGCTGATGGATGGGGAAGGCAGCCTTGTTAATTGTGGATCTCTGCAGCTTTTGATACCATCCACCAGGGTATCCCGAGCAGCTCTGAGATAGGTGTTGGAAGCACAGTGTTGCAACCATTATCAGCCCTTTGCGTTTTGAACTGGTAGTTTACAGGGTTCTGTCACCAGTGGTGTTGAAACATTTGGTGATGTCATTGGGGGATTGGAGTGGCATCAGTATGCTCTCTATACAAGCCAGGCGAAGCTATGCAGGTTCTGGACTCGTGCCTGAATTTAGTGGTGTGCCAGTGGATCCCAAAAAGATTGAGGTCCTGTGAGTAGTTTCCAGATCCAGAAATCAGGCAAATTGCTTGTTCTAGATGGGGTTGCACTCCCTCTGAAGGAATGATGTCCTTTATGACCTTTGGCTGGTTGGTCAGTGTGACAACTGGAAGACTACCGTCCCAGTTCGCATTCTGGAAAGGGAGTTTGCAAGCCTACATGTGTTAAAACAACTTTTGTTCTAAATTATGCAAAGAATAATTTCTCTAGTACATAATACCCTTTCAAGGCTATGTCCTTGTACAGTGACTCAGCACTGCAGTCATTTTCCCCAGTTGATTCCTGTATGATACCATGGCATCTGGGTGTTTCTGTGGAGCGATGTTTTCATGAGTCCTTGGTGTAGTCTTCTGGTTCCCCCTGCACCTCCCACACATTCCATCCCTGTTTTCTTCCAAATCCACATGCAGCACCTGATTACAGTCTCCCTTAACCAGATGTACTCCAAATCGCACTTCCATCTCACTCTCACTCTGTTTCTCTCCCCGCCCTTCTTAACTGCTTCAACTTTCACTTTCCCAACATCCCAAATCCCTTAGTAACAGTTGCCAAGATTGCCCATAACTCCCTCACACTTAACTATTTACATTTAACTTATTCCCTGTTTTCCTAGGTTAACTAGCCTTAGCAAATATATTCAGTCCAAAACAGAAATGGTAAACTTGTCAGCACAAACATGCATGCATAAAAATACTTCTGCCACACCTACGTTACAGCTGTTCCTGAGCAGCAAAATCCTAGCCTGATGGCCTATGGGCTGGTAACCTCTAGAAAGTATTGGTGTAATGGGCTGGTTTTCAAACTGGTCTAGTAGCTATAGATACAAATTGCAAAAGTCTCTTGTTGAATATGACCATAAGCACATAATGCCTCTTCTGAAGTTAGTGCAGTGGTTGCCAATATACTACAAGGCTCACTTCAGGATATTTGTATTGAAAGCTCTATACAACTTGGACCCTGGAGACCTGAGAGGACAGCTGCTCTTGTACAGACCTCACTGTACTAAGATTTACCAGGGAGGCCGTCTTAGCTGGAGCATCTCAAGCTGGAGCAAACTATGAAGTAAAAATGAGAGAGCTTTCTTGGTGATGACACCCTAGCTCTCAAGCTCCCTGCGGAGTTTTGGCCTCCAATTGAAGATCTGGCTTTTTCCCCCTGGGATATGCGCTAAAGTTTGGTGCCAGGATGGATATACTGTTGCTAGTTGTAATTCATCTGCTTTTTATGTGAGTTCTGTGTTAACAATTTGTAAATTTTAGCATATATATATTTTGTCACTGATGATGTAAATCATCTTGTGAAGGTAGATTCCCTGAAAGGTGGGATAAAAATCTATATTAATAAATAGATTTGCTGGCCACATTTGTAAAGTGTGCCCCTTTCTGTATCTGGCTGGTCAAGCTAATTAACATGAATATACAGTCCAAAGCATAGGCTCAATTTATGCACACACTCAATGCAGTAATCAAATGAATTTTTTTCTTACTATATTGGGGGTTCTGGTAAAACTTTTCTCTACATTGTGGTCTTTGATGTTCCACTCATCAAGTTTGTCTGTCCCTGATGATTGATTTTTTTACGTGAATAATGTAAGGTAAATATGTAGTTAATTGTAGTTTGGTATTTAATCATTCAGCTTTGGGGAATAAAATAAGTTGCTATGCCCAAATTGTAAAATTAAATTTGAGTCAAATTATAAATGAGATTTCTTTTGATATTGAAAGGTGGGGACCTCTAAACCTCTCCCTTTGGGAAAAGGTTAATGTCCTCAAAATGAACATTGTTCCAAAGCTTTTATACATTCTTAGAGGATTACCAATATATATTCACAAATTATACTTCAAAAAAATAAATTAACTATTTAGATCTTGTCTGTGGGGTACAAAGTCACCAAAAATATCACTCCATAAAATGCAACTTCCAACTAAGGAAGGCGGCTTTGGGCTCCCAAATCTGGAATCATATCACCAGGCTTACCTACTGAGTAAGACTAATTGGAGAGCTAGCAGGAATCCCAATTGGGCTACTCTCGAATATAGTTTCTTTGAACCTCTTGTAGGGTGGACTAAAT